TACGTGACCGCCCAGGCACGCCTCGTGGAGGGAAGACACCCGGTTGATCGTCACGAGGTTCACATTGACACCCTACAATTCGCAGAGAGGTGGGTTAAGGGCTGCATTAGCAATAGCGGTGAAAGCAACATCGTCGGACCCGTTTCCGTTGGCCTGAGGGGATCGGATAGAAAGGAGAAGAGGCCACGACCAGGACGCCTATACGGGGCGTGCGGAGCCTTGAACGCATTCGTTCGCCAGGCGCCCACTCGGCATGGACGCGGGCAGGGTGCTGGCACCTGGGTCTTCAGAGTTTATGACCCAGGTTTCTGTCCCCCAAGAGCCTCGTGGGGAAATAGACATGGGGGAGAAGGAAGCAGCGATATATTGCTATACGGGAAGCGTCCAAATTTCAGCTGGGAGCACGGGGTATACCCTTGAATCTACTTCGAGAGTAAAAGACAACTTTGCATATGAGGCAGTATTTAAGACTGAAAGCATAAAAAAATCCAAGCTAGGAAGGCAAAAAAAAAACCATAGTTGACCCTTAAACAATGCAGGGGGTAAGGACCCCAACCCCTGCGCAGTCAAAAATCTGTTTATAAGTTGACTCCCCCAACACTTAATTACTAATAGCCTACTGTTGACCAGAAGCCAAACAAATAAGTCAATTAACACCTATCTTGTATATGTGTTATACACTGTATTCTTACAATAAAGCTAGAGGAAAGAAAATGTTCTGAAGGAAATGATAAGGAAAATACACTTACAGTACTGTAATCATATTGGGAGCAGAAAGATGACCCCCAGGTCCAAGAGTAGACAGGAAAGTTGGTGGTACCCCCAGGACTCATAGGCCAGAGCAGCAGCCCACTGTCTGCTACAGGTCCACTGAGTGCACACGTCTGCAGGATCAGGGGCTGGGGCCACGGGCTCCTCCTAACCCAGCTGCTTACCCAGCTCCCGGTGGCTCTGCCCGGGCCTTGCACACACCCCTTCCCCAGACTGCTCGGTTCCACTCTCCTCATCCTGGAGTCCAGGTGACAGAGGACAGGATCAGCCAGCTGCTGGGCAACTCTGCCTTCATCCCTGATTTTAACTTGGTCCTTACATTCTCCCCAGGATTACTACTTTCTATGTGTAAAAGGAATTAGGTCCCTGGGTGATCCTTCCCAGCTGAGTTGTTTTTGATTCCCTGCCTTGTCAATGACCTGCTGGAAGCTTCCAACACCTAGTGGATGACCCTGAACCCCAAACCCTAACCAAAGTACCCACCACCTTCTGCCAGACCTCCATGGTGCTGCCTTAGTCCTGTCCATTTTCATGTCCTGAATATGACGTCATTACTCTAGAGCTGTGCTATAGATTTCAAGTTGGGTATCAAATACAATTACTAAAGACTCTTTTCCTTTTCTCATATATGATTTCTTTTCAAGAAAAGAAAAACAGGCTAATCCACAAGGTGGCAGGTAAGTACTAGGAAAAAAAACCCCACAACTTATCAGTGCAAACAAAATCCTTAAAATTGTGGGAATGTAATTCTAGGCAGGCTCAAAAGAATATCCAGAGTGAATCACCTTCACTGTGCATAAGAAAATGGAGCAGCAGAAAGTTCAAACTACAAGACTTGAGGCTCCCCAGTTGGTGGTGACAGCCAGGGTGAGGAGCTCCTGATCCCCGGTTGAATGTTTTACAGCTATCTCAATGTAAAATAAAATTGAGTGATACATTTTGGCTGGTGAGTAAAGGCAAGGAAGTGGGGTGTGCCTAAGGAAAAGCTGAACTTCTCTACGAATAATGCTCCTTACACATTTAAGCACACTACGGAAAGCAACATGCTTATGAAGTATAGTTAATAAAGACATGCTCAATGCAATGTGGGGTCCTGGATTGGATCCTGGAAGAGAAAACAGGCACAAATGGGAAAACTGGTGTCATCCCAATAGTCTGTAGTTTAGCTGATGGCATCGGGGTGAACACTGATTTGTTATTTTTGACTAAAGTACACAGTTATGTAAGATGTTAACACTAGGGGAATTTCAGTGAAGGGTATATGGCAACTCACTGTACTATCTCTGCAATGCTTCCTTAAAATAATTCCAAAATTAAGTCTATGAAAAATACTAATAAAAATATTAAATTTGGCAGCTGAGAGAGGGTGGAGGTAAGACTTTTCACTGTGTACCTTTTCATATCATTTTAATTTTGAACTATGTGAATATGTTACATATTAAAAATAAATCAAATGTAAAGTGCTTAAAAGTAAATAAGCAAGTGATAAAATCAAGTACAAAGCGTACTTGATAATTACTAGAAGTTTTCTTTTTACCTCTACTTTCTTGAGAACTAGCACAACTCATAAAGGAGAGAAAAAAAAGGCGCATGTGCACACACACACACGTGTCCATGGGCTATGCATATATGCATATAAGTTCTTTGATCAATCTCTCCCCACCCACTCCCCCATAGCGCATTCGCACTGAGATTCATCAGTCTGTTCCATGCTTCTGTGTCACTGGATCTATTTTGTTCCTCAGTCTATTTTGTTTATTAGATTCCACATATGAGGGAGTTCATGTAAAACTGAATCAGGAAGAATCAGAAAACCTGAATAGGCTAATAACTAATGAAACTGAAGCAGTAATAATAATTTTTTAAAAAACTACCAGCAAACAAAAGCTATGGTCTGGATGGCTTCACAGGGGAGCTTTCTAATTCTTTACATTGTAGAGTTAGATAGTTAACTAAAAATGTTTCTTGCTTTTTGAGATAGGCCTGTAGTGCTATGAACTTCCCTCTTAGGGCTGCTTTCACTGTGTCCCATAGATTTTTGGTTGTTGTGTGTTCATTTTCATTTGTTTCCAGGAAGTATTTGATTTCTTTCTTGATCTTATTGGTAACCCATTCATTGTTTAATAACATCCTATTTAGCCTCCATGTGTTTGAAAGTTCTTGAGTGTTTTTACCGTAGTTGATTTACAGTTTCATGCCATTATGACCTGAGGTGCTTGATATGATTTCAATTTTCTTGAACTTGTAGATACTTGTTTTGTGTCCTAACATGTGGTCTCTCTTTGAACATGACTCGTGTGCACTTGAGAGGAATGTATATTCTGCAGGTTTGGAGTGAAATGTTCTGTAAATATCAATTAAATCCATCTGATCTTGTGTGCCACTTAGAGTCACTGTTTCTGTGTTGACTGTATCTAGTGAAGTCAGTGGGGTGTTAAAGTCCCCAACTATGACTGTATTACTATTGATCTCTCCCTTAAAGTCCTTAAGGTTATTATTGATAGGTCCTTATTTATTGCCATTTTAATTCTTTATGCCTATGTTTCTCTCTCTATTTCTTATTATTATAGCAGTCCCTTTAACCTGCAATGCTGGTTTGGTGATGATAAACTCCTTTACCTTTTTTTGTCCAGGAAGCTCTTTATTTCACCATCTTTTTTGAATGATAGCCTTGCTGGATAGAGTAGTCTTGGTTTCAGATCCTTGTTTTGCATTACCTTGAATACTTCATGCCATTCCCTTCTGGCCTGTAGTTTTTGATGAGAAGTCAGCTGACAGCCGTATGGGAGCTCCTTTGTAGGTAACAGCTTGCGTTTCTCTTGCTGCCTTTAAGGTTCTATCTGTCTTAAATTCTTGGCATTTTAATTATGATGTGTCCAGGCGTGGGCCTCTTTGGATTCTTCTTGCTTGGGATTCTCTGTGCCTCCTGAATTTGTGTGACTTTTTCCTTCACCAGGTTAGGGAAGTTTTCTGCCATTATTTCTTCAAACAGGTTCTCTAATCCTTGCTTACTTTTGACCTCCTCTGGCAAGCCTATGATGCAAATATTGTTATGTTCCACGTTGTCCCACAGCTCCCTTAGACTGTCCTCCTGTTTTTTGTTTTTTTTTTATTTTGGATCTCTGATTGATTTTTTTCTACCCTGTCTTCTAATTCACTGACCTGATCCTCAGCTTCCTCTAATCTGCTGTTTATTCCTTCCAATGTATTCTTTATTTCTGCTATGTCATTCTTCATTTCTTTCATAGTTTCCATATCTTTTTTCATGCTGTTGAGCATCCTTACAATCAGTATTCTGAACTCTATATCTGATAGATTGCTTATCTCNGGCTGTTGAGCATCCTCACAATCAGTATTCTGAACTCTATATCTGATAGATTGCTTATCTCCATTTCATTTAGCTCTTTTTCTGAAGACTTCTCTTGTTCTTTCATTTGGGGCTTGTGTTTTGTCTCCCCATTTTGGCTATCTATTTGGGTTTGTTTCTATGTATTAGGTAGATCTACTAGGACTCTCAGTCTTTCTGGAAGGTCTCTGGTGCAGGCTAACGTCAGATGCTGTTTGTGATTGGCCTTGAGTACCCTGTTTGGAGCTATCAACAACCCTAAGCTTGAGGTCCCCTCTGTTGGGACTGGGTGCATTTAGACAGGACCAAGATGCACACCAAAGTCTGCTTTTCCAAGGCCCAGGTCCAGAAGCAGAGCAGGCAAAGACTTGAAGCACTCTTAGTTCTGCCTCTGCTTGCAAGTTGATTAATCTGATTATCTTAATGAGCCTCAGGCTGTAGAAACTCCTCTGGGTAAAGTGAGAGGTATTCCAGCAGGGTGGGGCAATTGCTTCCCCCTCAGGAAAAAGCTGTTTGGAAGGTAAATGTCTCCCTCTGAAATATGTCCTCTGCAGTATGGAGGAATGACAGCACAGGAATCCAGAGGAGTGCGCTCTGAGCTCTATCTCCAGAGCCCACAACCCTCGATTCTCCTCACACAGCCCCAGTCCACTCTGCCCTCCCTCTGCTGGAGCCCAAGGTGATGGGCTGCACACAAAACTTTGTGTGTTTCCTCTTTAAGAGGGTGCCAGCATTTCCAGCCATCTCTCCTTGGAAGACAGAAACCTGGCTGCTTCTCACAGCCAGATGTAATGTGGGCACCTTTCTTAGTTCTGGTGCTCTTGGCTGGGAAGCCCAGCCTGGGGTTTAAGCCCCAGAGTCCTCAGTGGGAACCACCCACAGCTGAGATATCCCTCCAGACCTGCAGCTGCTGCCTGTGGGAGCCCATACAGCCCTCTTGTGCCTCTGCACTTCCTACCAGACTCTATGTGGTCTCCACTTTTCTTCCTTGGTTATGAGGGTGCTCTTCAGCTCATCTTCAGTTGCAGTTGATTATTCAGGATGTTTTTCCTATATTTTAGTTGTAATTCCAGTTTGGTCCCAGGAGAATATCAGTGTAGCTTCCACTCAGTCCACCGCCATCTTTAATCTCTTTGATTGTCAATCTATTTTAATGTTTGCTCTTGAAATGATGTATCACTGGGGTAGGCAGCCTCTAAGATAGCTCCCAGTGATCCCTGCTTCCTGGTACTGGCTCACTTGTATTATCCCTTGAGTGTGGGCTGGATTTACTGACTCACATCTAATGAAGAGAATATGGCAGAAGTGATGTCACTTCGGAGATTAGGATATACTAAGACCTCCTTCTTAGGCAGTCTCTTTGTGCTCTCTCTGGGGGACACCAGTTACCATTTCATGATGCAGACACAGCCCCACGGACAGGCCCATGTGGCAAGGAATTGAAGCTGACCAATAACCACATGAGTGAGTTTGGAAGCAGATCCTCCCCAGGTGGATCTATGAGATAACTGCAGCCTGGCTGATACTTCACAGCCTGCGAGAGACTCAGAGCCAGAACCACCCAGCTGAGCTGCTCCTTGGCCAACAGAAACCATGAGAATCTAAGTGTTTGTTGTTTTCAGCCCCTATTCTTTGAGGTGATTTGGTACACAGCAATAGCTGACTAATGCAATTTCAGGGCTGCTGCTACTAAGGCACACTGGGAGAGTATAAAGTGTTGGTGCAACATAAATTTGAGGGCATCCTTCATCAGCCTATGAGGTAAAAGAAGGCCCAGAAGGGGAAGGATGGAACTGGGGAGAAAATGAGCCAGTTTCCCAAGGAAGGAGAGGCAGGAGGAACAAATGGTGAGCTTTAAGAGCATACATACACCTGAAATGGCCATGCTGGGAGCCAGCCAGCAAGCCCTCTACTACAGGCAAAGCTAATAAAGAAGGATGCTTACTGATAGGATAGAGTCTTCAGTTGGCTTACCTGTGCAATTAAAGTTTTAAGGGCCAGTAAGCGCCCCTGGGCTGCAGCTTCATGAAGTGGGGATCGATCAGCCCAGCAGTCTGAAACACAAATCAAGCTCAGTGTCAAGGTCTGGAGTCTTCTTCCTATAGCTCAGTCATGCTGTCAACCCACTATGAGAGGAGGTTTGGGGGAAGAGGAGGGAAGCTTGTACCGAGCAGCAGGCTCTCTTGTCACACTTTCAGGGTGACAAGCCACTGAATGTACAGTCCATTAGACTGTTGGTAGGTGTGGAGGGAGCACACAAACTCTACCTGGGTTTTGGGGCAACTTTAACAAGCAATAGATGGAGTACAATGCTTGAATAAATAGCTTCAAATAAAGCAAAATGAAGGGCCAAGCTGGACAATGAGCTTCCCCAGTTTCATCTTTCCCCCGCCTCTCACCCTTACCCCTACCCTCAAGACTCAACAGCATATCATGTACCATGAAGGAGATTCTAGTGGGTCAGCGAAAATGATCTTGTTCTAAATTCCTTAGGCAATTGTCTCTGTTTCATTTTGGTAATGAAACATATCTATTATCATAATGCACGATGTCCTTTTTCAGATGACACAATCCTCCAAAAGTTTTTCCCTAAACAGCTTTGTTGAGGGCAGCTGACTGTGATGGCTAAGTATGGAGCAAGCAGAGCCACACTGCCTGGATTCAAGTCCTACCTTGACCACTTTCTGTGCCAAAATGGGAAAGTTACTAAAATTATTTGAACCTCAATTTCCTGACCTGTAAACTGAGGGTATAGCAGTCTAGTATTTAGCAAGTGCTTTGGTCTCTAAGTAGGCCAATAATATACAACCATGAGAGTAGGTGCTCAACACAATTTACTAATAAGTACATATGGTAAGACAATACTCTAGGGAACAGCTTCAGAACTGCCTTAGAAATGTATTTGTCTTGCAGTTGCTAGTCAGCAAACAACACTAACCAGCTTAAAAGGGCATTTAAGAAGTAACCTTCTATTAAACATGCCAAAGGATAATCAATCATCTGTTTTGGAAGAAAACCTACTGTGGTTTGCAAAATTTGGGCATTCTTCAAATTATAACTGTGCTCTTCAAATACTGAACAGCATGTAATAACGATCTAGATTTAACACAGAGGGTCCATCTTACCAACCTTTCCTGGGTGATCCTGATGGTGTTAAGAATTCAGGTTCCCCCATAGCTGCAACCTTGGCAGAGACAATCCCACCAAAATGGAATTCATGTGAATTTGAAATAGCTTGAGGCCTCAAAGACAAAGTAAACTTTTCAAATTGATGAGAATCAGGGCTATAAACAGTTCAGTATGCTCTTTTCTTATGTTGAAACTCAAGTTTTATCTTCTCTAACCCTTTGGGGTATGAATAGGGGGAAAGCTAGAAACAACTCTACAGGGTTGGATTGAAATTGGAGCAATTGGTATGAAAATGTGACTATATATGTGTGTATATAATTACATGCATTATATGTATGTGTTTATATATGTGTGTGTGTGTAGGGCTCCTTGGAGAAATGGCTGATTCCAGGCCCGGACAAGGAAAAATATAAGATGGGCCTCAAACACCTTGCCAGAAAGTAAGGTAGTACTCAATGAATGTTGGGAAATGTCAAAGACACAGAAGCTAGCATGAAGGGGCTTCCACTGGCCAAATATGGAATGATACGAACATCAAAATAAATAATGATACTAAGAGAGTAAGTAATAATTTAATTCCTATTAATAAAATAAGAATCTTTAAGTCCTCACTGATAATTATATAAATTATTTTATATATTAATATATTATATCTTATATAAATTGGGAGAAGAGAAAATTCTTCCCTAGAGAATTCCAACTCAGAAATATAAAAGACATAATAAAATCTGCCTCAAATTATCTCCCCATAAAATAATTATTAGTTGTAAAGGGAATAGGTAATTTTACAGTAAAACAAAATTGTGGATACCACCTTACCCAGGGGATCGAAGTTAACATCAGAAGTGATGGAAACAAATTGGCAGTGTGCCATCTGATGGAATGCAATGAGCGACATCATGTACCATGGGCAGAAATGGAATGGAAAGAACACACCATCACTCTGTGATATTCCTGCTCAAAACACATAACCCGAATCTAATAGGGACACTGAGAACCAACTCAAGCTGAGGAACATTCTACAAAATAACTGGCTTGTAACCAGTTCAAAGAGAGACTGAGGGGACTGTTCCAGACTGAAAGAGGCTAATGAGACACAACATTTAAAGGCAACATGTGTGCCTCGATTAGATCTTTTTGCTATCAGGGACATTAGGACAGTTGGGAAAACATCAGTGGGGTTCTCTGGGTGAAATGGAAATTCTTTGTACCACTTGTAACTTTTCTCTCATTTTGAAATTAGTTTCAAAACAAAAAAGTGTATGTGCATATATATTACACATAAATAAAATCACTAGTGTTTTCATACTCCAGGTATGAATATGTGACGTTTTTATTAAAACAACAACAAAAAACAGCCTGGCCAGTGTTGCTCGGTGGTTGAGCACCAACCCATGAACCAAGAGGTCATCGGTTTGTTTCCTGGTCAGGGCACATGCCCAGGTTGTGGGCTCGATCCCCAGTAGGGGGCCTGCAGGAGGCAGTCTATCAGTGTTTATTTTCAATGCTTCTCTCTCTCTCTCTCCCTTCCTCTCTCTAAAATCAATAAAAATATATATTTAAAAACACAGATATAGTTGTTGGCATCTCCACTTGTTCCAGGGTCAGCTAGAAGCTAATGAGCGGAGTATTTTAAAATCTCTTGGATATTTGCTTATAATTTGCATAAACTGGGAATGAGATAATGTATGCATATAATCCTCAATTAGTCGGCCTTCGCTTTCTTCTAATACATCTCCATCTCATCAACGTGGAGCACATATCACACATTACACATTGCCCTTTTGCCTAACTGCTCTTGGAAATGGACACCGGCACTGGGGTTGTGAGGACAGTCTCACCCCTGGACTGCAACGCAGCACCCTGACTGACCAATGCAAGAAGCAAACCCACAGCCATTTGTTACTCTTTTGTTCTAACAATAGCCAGTCAACCAAAGTCACCTACAGGTACTCTAAGTATTTCATTCAAAAATAAAAATAAGATTTAAGTGGTAACTTGCTATTATTAACTTAGAATATCAACATGAAATGGCTTTATTATTTCTAACACTTGCCTCCAAGTGGGCTGTGGGGTGCCCTTTCCCTGGGAAGCAGGAACCATCACATCTGCATCCCATTTCTAGAAACTTTGTTACTCATCTGCCCCTAAGACCCACTCTGCGCACACACCTGGAGATCTCATGGTCCTAACGTTGAGTGAAGGCAGCCAGGCACAAAAGAGTGTGTGCAGTGTTATCCCTTCCTATAAAGTACAAAAACGGGCCAAACTCACCTTGGGTGTCAGGACTGCAAAGTACCCCGAGGAGGGCAGGGGCTCACTGGGAGAGGGCCTGGTGCGGGCCGTGCCGAAAGCACGCAGTCCCTTGCTCTCGGGAGGTGGCCCAGCTGATTGTGTCTGCTTGGTAAAAATTCACCCAACTGCTTGCTTAGGGTTTGTGCACTTGTCTGTATTTACATCAGACTTCAACACACGTTTGAAAACGACCAGTCTACCGGTCAGTCCACTTTAAAGCCGCACTCTCTGCTCCTCTGCCAACTCCTGGGAGGTATGGCCCTCTCTGCCGCCCCAGCAGCTGGAGGCGGAAAATCGGCGTGTTCTCACACGGCCCCCCTTGGTTCTTCTAAGTGCCAGCTCATCGGGGGCCTCGGGAGCGGGGAGAAGTAAGGGACAGGGGAGATGTCTCCGCAGTTAACCGGAAGAACAGGCCGGTGCTTCTCTCAGCCTCAGCAGGCCTCGCTTCCGTGCCCCTTTCCGATGCACTGGCATTTGACCGCCTCCCCGTGGCTGCTGGCAACGCAGCGCCCTCTATGCCCCCACTCGCGCCTCATGCCCCGTGCTTCTGAGGCCGCAGCAAGCCCGTGGGCCATCTTCCACGCCATCAAGAAAGAGGCAATGGCAGGTTGCCCTGGGTTTCTCTTACCCACCGCTGCTTTCCGACTCTCTTTTCCCCTAACTGGGCAGGACGGGGCAGTTCAGAGCTGCCCGGGCAGACTTCTCACCTGAGGGTGCACCACCAGGCTCCCCTCCGTGCAGGTGCCCCTTATCGGAACTTGCACTTCTCCTGGAGCCCACATCCCTTGGCTTTCAGGAGAGGACGGAGGAGCCTGCGCATGAACTGGAACACCCCCAAAGAACTACTGGTGTTTAAATTCTGCCTGTCCTCGTGGAAGATTGACTTTGGAGTGCTATGCTAATATCCACTTGCTCTCTAGAGATAATGTGAATTAAACCAATTGTATCATCTGAAATGTAGAAATCATTTTTGTTTCCCAACTGGAAGCAAAACCAATCTCAGGGAAGTCACCTTTCCAATCGCGTTGTTTTCCAGCACTTGCTCAGAAAGATCTTGAGTTTTCACACAAAGCCCTTCTCCAGAAAAATCTGCCAAGGTGGGCTCTCCTGTTTTGCTACTCATTCCCAACACGCAGTCTCTCACTCTTATCATTCCTGTTTTGCAAATTGCAGCTAATTGTGAGAAATTAAGGGTAAAAGTTATTTGGCAGCTAGGGAGTTTTTCCATTCCTTTCAGGAAATATGTAACCAAGCTCTCCAAATAAATGAATGCTTAAGTAGGAATCAGTCACTCTCTTCTAAGGCAGTCTATTTTTACTTATTTGGCAGAATGCCTGTGTCACAGGGCTGCGAGCACGTTATGGGGATAGTTTACTCTACAAATATGTTTACTTGTTCCTGATGAGGTGTACGGAAAATGTTCCAAGTACTTTTTCACTCCCCCTCTCTGACTTTTTCTCAGAATACGATTTATATCTCTGCTTCTTGGACTCTAAATAACAATTTCATGACAACTTTGAAACCCACAGATTTCAATAACAAAATTGGTTCCGATGGAATACAGTTGCCCGAGTTTCAAATGTTCAAGATAAAAATCAATTCTTTTGTTTGAAAGTGTTTGCAATTTATACCCTTCCTAATTCCAATAAGTATTTGCTATTACTGGTTTGTTATTTTTTAAAAACCAGCTAACCGGTTATAATCTCTAGTGCACGTGAAACAATCTTTATTCTCTTAAGTCCCCAAATAATATGAAGCAACATCTCTTGCAGCATCTATCAAAGGAAAGAAAATTCAAAAGGAGTTTCAATTTTGAACCAAAATATAGGTAAGGGCCTAACGGAATTAATGATACTTTAAACACAAAGGTAATTGTAAAAAAACGTATTATAATAAATTTCCTGAAGTATCTAAAATATTATAATAAAACTGAGTCAAAATGCACATTCTCTAGAACACTCAGCCCTGGTCAGGAGATGAACCATGGTCAAGGCACATCTTTCCGTAGCGTGTCAGAAAGAAGGCTCCTTTGAACTCATTAGGAACAGGAGAGTTGAGCTGGGTGGGAGGTGGGGCGGCCGAGTCCCTACTGAGGACTGGTTGTCCCAACTTGAGAAAGCCAGCAGGCAACTGTGATATGTAACCACTCAGAGGATAGCTGGGCCAAGGCTGAGGAAACAACCAGCAAAACTGAACAAGAGTAGAAGGCTAGGCAGAGGATTGGGCAAGAATGTACCAACGGCAGGAAAATCCTGTCCAAATGGGAAAAATGAGTCAGACTGATGAGTCTGGCAGAGGTGTGGCCATCAAATCAAGGTTAGCCCTTTGAATTTAGAACAAGGACAACTAAGTTTAAGTGTAACACTTAGAACAGTATCAGTATTTTAGCTCAAAATAGCCCTTTAAAGGGGGAGGGTGGATGTGAAAGTTCTACAATCTCATATCTGCTATTGTAAAAATCCCCCAAATTCTAAAAACCAAGTTTTTCCCAAGGTTGACACAAAATCCTTTGCCAGCAAAACACGGCCAATACTCAGGTTAAGCAATATATATATTTGTATTTTCACTTGGTGTGAATATTTATATGTTCACTATAGAAATATCAAAATGTCTGATTATGGGAGGCAGCTCTAGGCCCTGCTGGGAGTGCCATGTAATATGCACTACACACTGTGATCTTTCTAGTATCTCCCCAAACTCCTGAATCCTATCTGGTCCAAGGGTTGTGAAAAGCCATTATCAACCTGTATCTACACTTTATTTTTATCAAGTTTGATGACCAAGTTACTAGGCTAAATACAGCTTCTATTCTGGCCAAATTAGGAAAGGTTGAAAAATTATATACAATGTCTCTCAGGAGCAAGACAGTGCCTGAGGAAGATCTATGGGCTGAAGGCGGAATCCGGTGATCTATCCAGTGCTCTAGATGTAATGTCAAGGGCCGATGACAATGTTTCAAACTTAAAAATATATATACTTATTTAACTGACATACAAACAAAGCAGCCTGAAAAAAGCAAAATAAAAATAAGCCAACCACAGGTTAACTCAATCCTGACGAGTTATCTACAAATGTAATAACTTAAACCACAAAGACATATTGAATGATGTATTCTAGAATATGAAATTCCAGGGGAAAAACTTTCCCCAGAAGATTTTACAGCCAAAATAAAATAGTTAATGAGAGATATGATGCTGGGGGCTGTTCCCAAAAGAAAAAGTGCCAGGACCTATGATAGGCTAACCTCTGTCCTGGCTGAGTTTTTACCGCCCTCCCCTTATTTTTTACAGCAGTGATGACAGTTTACAGAAATATAATATGCTATTGGAAATCAAGAAACTTAACCTCCCTGAGGCTTTTCTAAATTAATTAGCTAACTTACGAATTAAACGTCACATCTTTTCCCAACAAACATTTGTCTGCTCAATGAACAGTAAAGGCCATTTCAGGTTTGAGGTGAACACTTGCACAAAATGTTGTTCTTTCTTTTCAGTACGCCTAGCTTTAAATATCTAGTATCTGACTGCTTATAATGTCAAAAGAAAACACGCTCTTAGAACCTTGGAAAAACCACTGCTTCTGGCATGTTACTGCCTGTATTATTAGAGAAAGGCTTAGTCACCAAATCTAAATATACTCTCTATTGTGTGTGCGCGCGCACAGCATGCCCACACACAGAGACCCATCTACACAGCCACACATATGCACATATTTAGGAAGAAAATCAAACTGGGAAATAAACATGCACCCTCTTCCCTGCTGCCTCTTGTTAATGATAATCGAAAAATACGGTTTTGACTTTGTAACACCATGTTACTTACAAATCAAATGAATATTATCCAAGGACCTTGAACAAATATGAGTAAAAGAATAAATAAGTTCAATTTAAGAGATTTGTATTATAGCCCCAGACTTAAACCATGCTTACACAGGTTCTATTATAAAATCTTTTTAAGAGGATACTTAATTAAGGGCCACAAAGACAAAAATAAAGCACACGAGCAACAAAAGACATTTTCTCTCTCTTGCAACAATGACTTTCTTGGACTTCACCTAATTTAAACCATGGGGATGATGTATCTATGAAAACATCAAAACTGTGTTACTGAAACATTTAAAAAGCCCCTGCACATAATTACAAATTAAATAAGAAAACAGCTTTTTCAGATCATGCTAAGCTTGAAACTAAAGGGGGTTGAAACAACATACCTCCCTGAAATGTGTGACAAATATAATCCCCAAAAGAAATCTCCTTCCACACTCCGAGCCTTCTGACACTTCCTGAAACTTCAACATTCTTCTCATTTTCCCCAGTTAACTGAAGCATTCTGATGCTTTGTCTTTGGAGGTCTTATTTCCTTGGATAAGACTGCTGTTATCTAATGTCTTCAAAGTCATCTAGTGTATTCGAATCACAAAGCGTCAGTCTATTTTGAAAGAGAACCCTAGATGCAAATAGAAATGGATACTAAAGACTGATGTAATCCTGGAACCCCGATGAACACTAAAAAGCCACAGGGAAATCCTGAACTGTTTATGAGTAAATACTCCTCTATTAATCGAGGATCCTGGCAGTGACAAGGATATCTGATTCATTTACTTTCGTAGCATCTCATTACAATTAAGTCATTTCAAAGAAACGGAAACTAAGTTCTACAAAGCAGGAGACTTCAAAATGTTTTACCCAAATCTTGGCATTTCATATTATAATAATAACCTTTGTTTGAGTGCTTTGCATGGTACCACATATAAATGGGTTTAGTAAAAGGTTTTTCCTGACAGTGACAAGTGGCTAATCAATTCCAATTGCAAATGACAGCACCAAAATAAATACAGCTTGCCACATTTGCTGCTTTAAATCAAATTTCTTGGTCATTCTACTCCATGAGGACATTCAATCTTGTTAGAATACATTGTTAAAGTTTGAGTAAAAATATTAAAGACAATAATCCAAGATAAGTAATTCTTTAGGTTAGTAGAAACAAGGTTTCTCAAAAGACTTTTAGAAAGCCACTCCTTTAATTACTTCTTAAATAATAACTCTTAATCGAAGAACTAACTTGCAAAAAATAAGGCTAAAAATCCTTCACAAATGGTGCAATCAACACCATTTGTTATTTTAAACAATAATTTTCAAGTGACCCACTCAAAGCCAAAGTATAAATAAAATCTACCTTCTAGAAATATTATTCATATGAATTACCCAAGGTTTTTATAAAATGTGTATTGTGACCCCAGGCTGTATTCTCATGCATCAGCCTTTTAACAAAGGCTGTCTTTTTACCTGATATTCCACCATAGATCTCTTCTGCTATCCTAGCCGCTTCTTTTCTATTTCCTTTGACGATATAGAAATGGGTTAGGAGAGCCAAAAAAACTTTAATTAAAAGCTTGAAAAAAAGAAAAGTAGCAAACATGGTAACAAAAATGTTTTTAAAGCCATAGAAAACAGAACCATCTTCCATTTTGGCTTACACTCTGCACAGGTTCTCGGGACTGCAAAATTTCACTGAGTTGTAATTGGTATCATATGACATCTATTTTAAACCTTCTAGCCCTCAGTGTCCTGTCACGAAGAACTCAGTTTGTAGGTTCTAAGCTAACTGTGACTTGGCGGCTGCATGTCTGACATTCACGGCAAGGTTAAATGAATTAAAGAAACTTCCTTCCAACCAGAACTGCCGATAATTCTACACCTGCATCCCTCAGTGCTATCTAACAGGATTCCCGCCCAAACCTTACTTATTCCTCAGTCCCAATTTCTGCTCCATTATGTTGGAAGGCAGTACTGGACAGATAAACTTCTCAGATCCCACGGGGAGCAAAGCAAGTTATCTGAAGTTCATACAAAGAAGTACAAATGCACCCTATGTTCTTGGTGGGAAGTACTAGCCCCTGGAACACTTCATTTTTCCTTCATTCTGAGGTTCAAGGGAGATAAAGCCCAAATCTAAACTATGAAGGGTTAAAAAAAGACCATTTACTCTAGGGCAGTATTTCTAACAGGCCCATCTTGGATGCCTCTCCAAGTACAAGTGTCGTACTGGAAGCGTTAGGCCACTTAGTAATCACTTCATCTGTGACAAGGTCCCCCTGTAAAGTTCCTGATGATTCACTTCCAATTTCAAGTGTCCTTAAAGGTGGTGCCTCTTTCTGGCGAATGTGGGCTATTCTTGATCATGGAAGAGTCCTAACAAATGGATGATGAAGCTGCCCTAGGTTCTGGGTGAAGTACCCAGACTATTAATTGATACCTTCCCTAGTTGGTCAGCTGTAAGCCCAACTGTTCAACACGCACCAGCTGGCCAATCTAAGTGAAAGGATTTATTTTTAATTTTCCACACCCAGGGAAATTAGGTGAGGAAAATCTAGATCTCCTCTTTCATGCTTGGCTATATTAGATTTCCTAAATTTCTACAACCAATTAGAAGAGACAAGCCAAAATAAAATCGTAAGAGCAGATGAAATAAATCTTATGTAATAAATGCTTCCTGCAAAAATACGGGAGTTTCTCCTAGCACTCAGACAAACTAGAATCGCTCCCTATGTAAGAACTGTTTCCCTATACTTTGTTAAAAGGCTGGTGCATGAGAATAGCCTGGAGTGACAAGACACAGCACATCATTTCAGTGTCCAAGGACCATAAAGACCTTGCGTCACTTCCATTCTCAAGAACAGGTATTAACATACAGGGTTGACTTTGCCAAGCGCCCACTGATACCTGGAAGAGTGCCGGTGTCTGAAAGTACGTGGATGAACACAAGTATTTTAGCTCTTTTCATGTCTTTCTTCAACTGTGCGCTATGAAAGTGATCATTTACTCACGCCAGCCAGCGATGTGTATTGTATTGTATAACATCATGCGATCTTGTTTTGGCCTTTTTATTTCAAACATGGTTGTACCTTCTTTTTTACATTCCAGAAAAGTTGGCCATGAGCAGCTCAACTTTTTTAAGCTTCAAACTATTTCTGAAAGACCATCTTTACATTTGAGATGGGCGTAAGACTCCTGAAGGAGTCAATTCACAGTATCTTTTACAGACAAACCCATCTGCAGTACCGGAGGCTCTCAGCCTCAACACTACTGACATTTTGAGCCAGATCATTCTTTGTTGTTGGGGGTGGGGGCCGTCCGAAGGCACTGGAGGACACCTAGCAGCATCCCTGATCTCCACACACTCCCATCCAGTTGTAACAAGCAGAAATGTCTCCACTCACTGCCAGATGTCCCCACAGGGACAAAATCGCCACCCCTTTTCACCCCCACACCCAGCTGAGAACCACTGAGCCACAGCCAAACATAAATGATCAAGAAAAATGAACTCCCCAAAGTACTGATGACTACAAATCAAATTCTGTATAAAACTTTAACTTTCAGAATGTATTTTAAAAATCTAGCCACAGGATGATATAATATCTAGCCAATTCTTTTGGGAACACAGAAGAATAAAGAGGGCTTTAAAAATATTTCACAAAAGTAAACACAGGCCCATGATAACCTGACTGCCAAAAATAACTTTCGGGATAAGATAAATCAGAACGTACCAATGTAGGTGACTGCTTTCCACTGTTTCCAGTAAAAGGGGTGGGAAAAGCTGCATTTCTGTAAATAAAATCACAATTCAAATTTCTCTTAAAATAGCTTGCAAGACAATTATGTAGTTCACATACAGAACAGTTAATAGATGTATTCATTTGTCTCATGAGGTAACTCTAGTGCAGAGCAAAACAAGAATTTGTTTGGATCAGGAAACAAAGGCACAATTGAACTTGCTATCCCATGAGTAAAAGAATGTATTCTAGAAAAAAAAAAGATGACAGAGTAATTCATCATTGGAAGGATATTTCCTTTTTAACTAAGAGACCTAGCAACACATCAAATTGCACCGGAAAGATGGCGTATTATAGAACTGTACACCCAAAACCTATATAATTTTATTAACCAATGTCACCCCAATAAATTCACTAATTTTTTTTTTTTTTTTTAAAGAAAGCACAGGAGGGAGGGGGTAGGGGAGCACTGTTCAACTAGTAAATAAAATTATAGTCATAAAAAAGACAAACTCAGAAAATTTTAAAAATTCATTTTGGTCTTTATTTTTATAGGATATGGAGCATGTTTTCATAAATCAGTTTTACGTGTGCAACTTTTTGTAACATCAAAAGAAATACATTTTTCATAAAATCCTCGTTACTGAAAGTTCACTTTCAAATAAATGTAAGTTAGATGGTGGAACAATATGTTTCCACATATTGCCCGGTGCAACACTGACAGTTACAATTAAAGTATCCTGGAAGCCTGAAAATGAAGATCTATTAGAACAAGCAAATTTACTTCCATTCGTTTAAAAAAAAAAAAAAAAAAAGAATTTTAATTTGCAAATTACATATTTTACATGCAAGAAGAACTTTAATGCCTATGTCCCTCTGAAATAAATGACAATAATGATTTTGAAAAAAAGATGCGAAGAAACAAAAATATAAGAAAAAAATAGTATGCCTTTGAAAATTGCTGAATAAAACTAAATGTTACAGTTTCTCTTTTTTTCACAAATATTGGCACTGTTTATTCCATATTTATATAAGTCAGTTTCTGTGCATAAAAATCCTAATAGGATGTAATGGTTTGGGTCAGTCTATTTTTCTTTACTAAAGAACTCCTAACTTCTAGATTTTAAAAATTACGCTCTTGCATTTGTGTTTTAGTATGAAACACAAATATATTTCTTTATATCAGTGGCAACTGATTAACAGGCATGTTAAGATACTTTAAAAAAAGTCTTGTAAATATTATCATTTAAAAAAATCCTGCACACAATCACAATACTGCCAGGATCTATGTAGTGCACCCACACGTGCCTCTTTCTTTCTATTTCAGTCCTTTATCACAAAAACTTATTCGAAGGAGTTCAGTAAGACACACCATGTGGATAATCTGGGGTTTAAAAACCCATGGCTCTGGGCAACAATTACAGTTAATAACACATCCATCCTAAAATTTTCAGGCTCAATTCACCAGGAAAAAACATTCTGGGGTAACGACTTTTTTGCACACTGACAATACTTCTCAGACATCAGCTAGGCCACAAGTGAAGGGAAGTGACTTCTCTCAAAGGTACAGGGGAGCAGCTGAGTTTGAGATGGCACACCCCATACATTCTGCTCGGAAAACACGAAGGCATTCACAGAGAACTAAATTACGCGCTGAAAGATGTGGAAGGTTTGTCTCTGCACTCTCATCAACAGTGATATCGGTCCCTAGTAATTAAAAAGCAGAAAGCATTTTCATAAACACAACTGAAAAGGACGGCTCCACCCAGAATGCCCACCACAGGATCAAAAACGTGCTCGGAGCGGGCCGGCACCGTCGTCCTGGCATTAGAAGCGTGAGCATTTTTGGCATGCTGGATGTTTTGCCATTTCACGTCAAGTCACTACAATGAAGTGAGCCATTTGAGTGACAAACAGCAAATGCACCCTGGTCCTTCAGGGCAGGAAATATCTAGCTCAATGTTCTACACATAGTAGGCGCTTAAAGCATGCTGGTAACTGACAGACCTTGTTACTCAAGAAACCTGCTGATTATATGTAACACTTACTGAGTGTACCCAAAAAAAAGGTTAAAAACATGACTTAACTATCTAATGAAGGTGCATGGACATGACTTAAAATAGTTCATAGAGTTGTGGTACTTCCCTAAAGGAAACTTGTAAACATCTGGTGAATACCTAATTAATGGCAGAACATTTAAATTGGCCAAAAAAAATGTCCAGAAAACGTTTGGCCCTTCAGCACCCAAAGCTCCCAAAATATGTGAAAACATCTCTGCTAGAGGAACTTCAGTAGTTTGAAAAATTTCATACCTGAGTGACTTAAATAGGTTCTCTCCTAAATTTTAAATAAGTGCAAGGAGTTTCTACACTCAGGAATTGCATAAGTTATTTTTCCTCAAAATAAAACATTGACTGATATAGAGGTAGCACAACTTACTAAATTAATTTTACGAAGGGAAAAAAGCAAGGTTATTTTCAATCATCTTAATAGAACTATTACAAATATTAAAAATCTTCCAATCTAGGCTTCCTTCTACCTGGTTTTGGGCATCTCATTATTCCTGCTCCCTTTTCTACTGCAAGGACACTGCTTAGTCCAGACACCCTTTGGCCCTGTGGCATCTATCGCAACATCAATGAGAGAATCCGGCATCATCCACCTCAGGAAGGTGAGGAAGAGAAAGTTGAATACAGCCAACAAAGCGAAAATGCAGCCTGTTACCGGGCCGCAGCGAGACATGAGCCTGTCCAGTCGCCTGTCCATCGGTAACACAGTTTCTCCTGCCACTCGGTTGTACACCTGGTGGGAGAGAAGCCAAGAATGAGGACCGTGATCTACAATAAACAGCGACCAGGAATGTTTTATAGATAGAAACAGAAGTCGCTTACGTGTCGTCGATGTTATAGGAATGATGTGGTTAATGAAATTCATTACAGTAACTTACTGTCTTTCGATTCAACACTCATGGAGGACTTATTCTGGACAAAACCCCAGGCCAGATGCCATGTGATACAGAGACGAATATGCCCCAGCTCCTGGCTCCCAGGGGATCACCACCGATTTTAACCCAGCTATGAGGACTCTAAAGCGCCGCGAGGTGAGAGGCGCTCCTCGGGTCCCGCTGCGCGGCCTCGGCAGGGGCTCCCCGAAGCAGGGCAGGCCTTCCGAGACCCTCTGCACGGCTGAGCAGCTCTCCCCACTATCTGGCACGCATCAACCGCAATCAGAGTGACAATCTAGGGAGCTGCTTTCTGGGTACAGAGCAGCTCTTCTTTCCACAGCCATGGGAGACCATGCTGCTGAGCACGGATGGTGAGGAAATACGGAAACATTTCATGAATTCCAAATAAAAGGGGAAAAGAGATGGGGAAAATCTTAGTACATGGCATAGGGCAAACACTGGCAAAGAAAACAGAATTTACTGCTGAGAATTGGTAGTGGGTGGCTTGCTTTTTAAATCACTAAGCACTAAACTAGGAAATGTTTTTAAAAACAAAGATCTTTAAACATATTTCTTTTGAACACATCAAATGGGCCAGGATAATGTGAACTGCATTTGGGCATTGTGCCCATTCTCATGTATGAGATCTGTAAAGAATCTCCTTTTGAACTCAAGAAAGTTACAACGTGAAATACAAGTTCTGAAGGCTAATGGCCTTTGAAAGATACGGGATGTTTTCATCTAGCTTGTCTACCCCAAGGGTATTTGAAATACCTTTCAATCAGAATTATGTTGAGAATTATGCTGAAACTGATGAATCACATCTGTTCAATTTTCTAAAAAGCACAGTTAAACTAAGGAGGAGGGGTTGAAAGGGATCAAAATGTCCTGGGTGGGACAGGTAGAATTAAAAGAGCAACTACAAACCTATCTGTGTGTTCACCTTTATTTCTAGGTCAATTAATTTATGATCCTCATAATTTATGATCTTAAGCAACAAAGTAATTTACTACTATGAAGAGAACAACAGGTTAATCCATTATGGACAAAGATTAACTTTTTTTCTGAATGTATACTATAAATCACTATAGAGTATAAAATGAAAAAATACAGATGTTTCACTATTACTTTAAGCAAAACTAAAGGAACGTTTGTGGTTTAAAAAAATCCTAATTAGCTCCTTTAACATATGTTGACATACTGTCACCAGAGTTCTTTGCCCCGAAATTAATATTTACAGTACCTCAGACTTCCAAGGTTCACAATGATGCGATCAAGAAAGTTAAGTCACAACTTACAGAGCTATGGTTATCAAGCAGAGTAAAGCATCACTGAAAAAAACCGTCCAACCAAACATCCCTAACCACCATTCCCAAATGCCACCTCTGCTCCTAAAGGGCCATACAAGAATCAAGGGGGCGGCTGGGGTGGGGTAGGCAGGGGGACAGGAGGATGCAATGGACAGCTCCTGAAAAGGCTTCCTACGTGATTCTGACGTGTGTTCCTGGCAGGTAATCAATGCTCCACTCCAACTCCCAAAGAAAAAGGTAGTTATTTCATATGGGTGGAGATATTGCAAAACTCCTAGAAGGCGAGAGTGCCTCAGAGACATTTCAGTCAAAACTGTTCACTCAAATATCTCACATTTCAATGGAAAGTGTATTATGACAATTTTTAGAGATAAGAGTTTTTCTGCACTTATATTCAAATGAGTTCATTTTATGGATGGAAATTTATAATTTAAACCAAATAAGACAGCCTTACAGTGGAAAGCTATTCTGCTCACTCAGCTGTTCCAACCTGCTCTCTATTTCTGGCTAGAAACTAGCTGCTCCACTGACTACAGTGAGAGCATAGAGTACTTGTCTAAACTACTATCTTCTCCATGCTCCCGAATGACTGAGCTTCTGGTTCACAATTTCTATATACCAAGCAGAGTGTTACCATCCAGTGTGTTACGTGGCAATAAGAGGCATGAAGCAGATGAAGTTATGAGATTAAACAAAGGACAAAACCAAGTGCAATAAATGAAGTCCCTAAATTAAAACCAGGAATCATACTCTCCCACCTAAGGGTATTAATCTGTGTCCTATACCTGTCCTTTCGGAAATTCTCTATTGCTGCTTTTTGTGTATGATCATGCTTCCGACATCTGTCATGTGCATTTTGAATCCTAACTTACTATGTTTTGCCCAAAGATGCAAAAGTCCTTTTCCTGTAGAAAACCACAGTAGTTAGCAAGAGTGACAGTGTTTTAGGAAATAGCCTGAATTAAATATTTGCCAGTTGCTGCAATCAGACTAAGTAAAACCGTATCTTTTCTAACAGACCTATACACTTTAGAATTCTAAACAGTCTCAAGAAAATGTCTCACAGAAGATTTTAATATTACTTCTGCCTCTAATGGCTGTGACTTCTAGAAAATTCTGTAACTTCTTTATGCCCAGTTTAATGAAAGTGCAGACGGCACTACTGCTACTTTCAGATGTCAAATGCAACGATCTGACAAGAAATGTAATGTCTAGCACATACCACAAGCACACAGTTCACGTCTTTCATTTGGGAGAGACTTCACAAATAAACCTAAGCAATACAACAGAAATGGTAAACCTGTGTAAGAAAAAGCCAACGTGTACATGAAACATCAGGAATTCACACCCAATCTTCAAATACCCCTTTCTTGGCAGGTGACATACTTTTTCAGTTCTCTCTGCAACATTCCTCCAGGTGTAGAAAGTCTTTACTACGTTATGGATTTTTTCTGGAGCCGGCAGTGCTCCGGACTTCAGTTGGGAAATAGCTTTTTCCAGTCCCTCACACAAAGATTTTACAGAAGGCTCACATAAAATAATAAGATTTTCTGGAAGCACTTCGGGGATTCCACCAACCTTGGTACTTACAACCTTAAAAAGAAAAAAAAAGGAAAAAAAGAAAAAAGAAAAAAAAAAACAAAACACAAAACATACGATCCAGTATAAGTCATATCTCAGACAAAGCAGCAAGACCAACTTAAAAAATTACTACAGAACGTGTCTGATCAGTTTTCAAAATATATGCACAGAAACCCCGACAATGTGAGCCCTCAAAGCTTTTTACCTGTAAACCACAACTGGCTGCTTCCACAATGGCCATGCAGAATGCTTCAGTAAGGGAAGTGTTAAGAAAAATATGTCCTTGAACTAAGACATTTCTAACATCCTTGTGTTCTAAGGCTCCCAAGAGACGCACTCTGATTTTTGAAATGAGAGAAGAAAGAGGACAGTGAAAATCATGCTACGGATGAAAGAAATATAATTTATAAGCCAAGCGTGCTATCCATTTTATGCTTAAATTCCTATTGGTTCTAATGCTTTCCATCTCAAAAAATTAATATTGCCAAATGCTGATCTAAAAGAAACAGTCTTACTGAGCTGGTTGGTTAAAATGCAGATAGCTACAATAGTTCTCACTTTCATCACACATATCAAATTTTACTGTTTCCAAAATGAGTTTGCATTGAATGAAAATATTCGTACCCTTTGATGAGTACATGTTAAATGCCATTCTTAAACAGGAGAACATCTCTTTTAAACTGATGTTCCACAGGCACACCCCTTGCATGTTACCTAAGTTACTGAGCAAGAGAAATGTTCACCTCTGTATGTGCAGAGCATGATCTGGGCCATGCTATTTGAATCACAACTCAGTATGGCTTGAAAATCTGTAACCATTTCCAATCAAAGCAGTTAGTTTTTCATGCCTTCCACAGTGCCTCCAATCACTGCCCCATAAAGTCAAGTAATATTGGGCCAACAGGAAAAAAAATCAAATAAAATTGTGAGTTCTTTAACTAGGGTTTCCCACTTTATATAAATTTTTTAAAAATAGGCCTTACATTACATTTTACATCAGCTACATGTAGGAGAAGCAGCCCACTTAATGCAGGCATGTAGCCAAAACCAAATTTAGGTCATTGATATTTTCTCACCCAAGACAATATGGAATCCATCAATACCTGTCATGTAGCTGGTATCTTTCCCGCACTTCTTCCAAAATTATTCTCTTTGGTCCCTCTCCTCCAATTATAAAATTTAAATCTTGATATTTCTGACAGAGTTCAGGTATTATACCACTAAGCAAATCGGTCCCTGGAAACAGAAAATAAAGTTAAGTGTTGAAGACATTAATATTTAAACTTTAAAAAAAATCTACTGAGAATCCACTCACTTTGAAAAGTATTAGCTATGCCCTCCTTACATAAAGAAATGAATTCTCTAAAACCTTTCCTGGGAGGGTAGAATGGTTCACCCAAAAGCTGCGAATCCTGAAGACACACAGGCATGCACTGCTGCCTTCCATGCATCCAGTCTGTGCACTGTTCTGTTTCATTCCAGCATAACGTTCTTAAATTATTCACTCGTGTTTATGCATCTCCCACTTCTAGGAAAGGTATTTGAGGTAGCTAACATTTGAGCTCAAGTTTTCTACAGAGCAGGACGGCTGACTGGGGATCTAGATCCTGTCCCACCCTTTTAAGGAACAAGCTCTTTGACGATGGGAAAGTTTCCTGATGCAGAATATTAAGAGACCTATGTACCTAAAGTCCAAGGTCTGTTTCAGCTATCAAGTTCTGCTACCTACAGTTCCACTTCCTGCCACAGGAAAGGGCTACGCAACCAAGTATAACTGCTGTCTTCACTTTGTGCACAACGCAATTTATACCGAGGATTCTGTAGTGAATGCTATGGTATTAGCAAAATTTAAAAGACTAGTCCATCCAAGCTCGCTGTAGCCCACTTCCCCGAAGGAGAGTAAGTGAAGGTGGCAGGACCCATCAGCCAGACTGTTACATTCCAGAGAACAGAAAGATGCATCTTTGTACCCTTTTTCCTAATGAAATACTTTTCTTATAATATGTAAATACAACCTCAGGTAATGTAAAGCAATAAAATAAATCAGGCCCTCCTAGTCTGAAAGTAGCTATCCAAAGTGGTAACAATGTTGACACTATTTGAGAAGTTAATTCATTAACAATTATAAATTATATGCAGAATAAAAATGCGAAACATTCCAGGCAGTTTATTAAGAAATGAATACATACACACATACACCCCCCCGAGAATTGCACTATTGATCTCCCTAAATACAGGGTGTCCCCCAAAAATGTATACACACTTTAATAGCTGAGAGCTGTTACATGAAAATTAAATGTATTTTAATAAGCACTGCCTTTATAATTACTCAAAGTATGTGTCTACATTTTTGGGGGGACACCATATACAGGCAGATCAATTATAAAAACGATGGTGGGACATATAATATACACAGGTCATTTTTATTGAAAAACTCAAAATAGAATTTAACTCTGCTAGTATTTTCAAAATGACCGTACTAGCAAACACAGTCATATGTGGCTTTTCCGAATTATGAAAGTTTCTCCTTAAAATCTTAGCTATCTTTGTTTCAAGTCTATTACCAAATCTATCAATAGGATTTCTAGTTAAACCAGAAGGTGGTTTAATCACTTTTAACATTTAGCCTCTTATAATTCTTTCATTTTATCTTTCCTTGCTTTTCCCTCTCCCCCTTCTAAAACAAGGTTAAGAACCCATTCTTCAGGTAAAAAAACAAAAACACACACATAGAGTAATAATCATAACTGCTGATAATAGCTACCATTTACTGAGTGCTATATCAGGCAATGCACTTTAAATACAGCATGTCACTTAATCCTGACAAGTGCCTTATAAGAAATGGAACTGATTAATATAGTCAATTATCTATATTATTCTAAAAACAAAAGCCCCC